GCCCCTCCTCTTCCCCTTGTGAAGAATTTATCTTCAAAAGGTGCTTCTGAAAGGCATCACTCAGCAGGCAAGCTGCTCAGAATCCCAGAAAAGGGCCATACCCTCTCCTTGATTTGATTTGCCTCAAGGTGAAATGTCAGCCAAGTTTCTGAAGCATCTTTTAATCAGAGATAAGAGTAAACAATGGTATAAAATAGTAACAACTCAAGAAATTACCAAAATTCTGCTCATGATTGCCACATGGGTCTGTCATTGCCCCCAAGTACCATTGAGTAAAAAAAAAAAAACAAATAAACAAAAATAAGAAGCAAAGCCTACGGTGGTGGCTGCCTTTCTGCCTTTCCAGCCCAGTGATTCCTCCACACAGCTGCAAAAATCAGAGCAGCAACACTCACTCACTTCTCTCTTGGGAGTACAGACAAAGCAGGACTGCGACATCTCCTTTTTGTGGAAAGTTAAACACAGCCCACCAGTAAGTTACTGGTCTGCCCTCAGCTCATGTCCTAGCTTAGCCAACTGGATCCAGAAGGTCTAGAAACATCTTCCAAACCACAACTTGCACCAGAAAAAAAAAATAAAATAAAGGTTTTAAAAGGCTTGTATTGTGATAGTTGTCTTAGGGGCAAGAACCAACCCCCCCTCCCCCATTCCAGAAGGCTGTAGTCAAGACTTCAGAGGGGCTTGCAGCACCAAAAATAGGCAGCAAACGCTGGCCTGGTCCCTCGTGACAGCAGAGATGGAAGCTATAACCTTCCTTTGTGCGCAGCACCCTGATGGTAAGTTAGAACAACGTTGCTGTTGTCCTACAGTCCAATTCAAAGCTTGGCTGTAGTCCAGAGCGCTCACAGCAGGATTGAGAAGAAGAAAAAAATAAGTCTGTGCTACAGCCCAGGTAGCTTGGACACGGAACCACGGGCCCCTGCCTTCTCCATGCTCTTTAAGTGGCTTCTGGAGTGCATCAAGGAGAGATGCTGGACCTGCACTGGAGCAAACCACCACTGAAATGGCACCAGCATCACCCTCCTGCGGTCGGCAGCCAGCCTAGTCCAAACTCATTCCACCTTGAGTTGATCCCAGTAAAAACCAGTTTGTCACAAACAAAGATACCTCTGGCAAATATTGACGGGACTAAGATTTAAGTACAAAATGGCTTAAAGTGAAATCTGTAGCTTTTGTTTTTGCCCTGGTCACTGGCTTTATCCCTTCTGTTGTGCAAAGCCTCTGACTGGTTTGGATTGTGCCCATTTCAGATTTGCTGGAGGTTTCTGGGGAAGGGGTATCTTGATTAAAGATCACTTAGGAATGTGGAGCTCAACACATCTAGATATTTAAAGATAAGTTCGTGTTTGCTCAAGGCCAACCCACAGCCTTAGTTAGTCCTCTTCTGTCCACTGGCCACTAGCCACGTGGCCGTTAATGCGGTTGGAGCCGTTACTTGAAGTGCTGAAAAATCCTTTTGTGCTGTTGGAAGTCACATCCTCCTCTTCAGAGCTGCTCTCTACATCACTGCGGTCATCTTTGGATACCTAAACATTTCAAATGAAGTTTGGTAGTGGAAAGGGGAAAAGGGAAATTGAAAAATTCTCAGAAAACAGTAGTCAGAAGGTTGTGTCCACGTGATTAAGCAGTTCAGTTACATTTACCTTCTTCATCTGAATCACTACATTGTGAATCACTTCAAACTCCCAAGGAGGAATCTGTCATCACATACAGAGTGCAAGACACAGACATTAAAAATGATACTTTGGAAATTCAAGTTCCAATTTCCAAATACTCTGTGAAAGCACTACACTGTTTTTTTTACTCTCACCAGATCAGAAGACACTATAGATCTTTGGTTGTTCTTGTCTCCAAAAAGCTGCATTGTAAATTAGTTAAAAGTCACTTTTCCAAACAACAAATTTGTTTTGAATCAAAAAAAAAACAACTTCTCACACCGTAATCATCAGTGGGTATGATGACCAAAAAACATGTACATATCAGTTCTGGAGAGAACATTTTGTCCTAGAGGGAGCAGCTTTGATATTTTAAAAATTAACCAGCAATATTCAGTACATGACTGTTTGTTCAAAGTGCCTCCCATTTTCACAGCTCGTGGTTCACACATGAAAACTCATTTACGAGCAAAAGCCTGTTTGGACAGTGGGCTGGAGAGCAAAAACCCTCTTAGGAACAGAAGGAGCATCTCAGCCCCGAGATCTAGATCTGCTTTAGAGAGTTGTATCTTTAGGTAAAACACTGGCTGAAAATCCATCTGAAATTGAGTTGTACGTGGGATTTTGAACCTTTTGAAGCAGATCCAGGTGCACTTTGCTGCTGGCTGCTCCGGAGTGCCTCAGGAGGGCACTGCACCAGCACCACAGAGCCAACCACACCAGAAGGTGAAGGGAAGAGATCATCAGCCCGGCCCTAACTGCAAACAAGCACCTTGGTTGGTGGCTGGCTGCCAGAGCCATAAACTCACCAGTGCAGAGCAGCGACTGTGTGAATGGCCCCTGCTCTGCATACCCCCAGGCAGGCTCTCCACGCTTCTGCCTCTGCAATTAATAGCCCTCATTTACTTAATGTGCAATCACTTTTGTTGCTGCTAGCACCTTTCCAAGGATTTCAGGATTTCATTCTACTCTGCTTGGAGTCAGAGTTAGGGCTTTGCAACAGCACCAGGCAGGAAGTTTTTGAACTCAAAGGAAGATCTGGCAGAAAGCCAGGTAAAGTTAATGATCTCCAGGATTGGTTTTGACAGGCCTGTTGGATGTACTGGCTTCTGTCTGTTGCTAGAACTTTTAATATCTTTCCTTACTCTCCTGCTACGTTGGAAGTTCAAAGGGTCACTGGAAGGAAGCAGAAATCCCTCAAAGTTTTTCCCATTATTTGGAGGAAAAGTGTCTGTTTAGTCCTTTTTGCAAAAAGCATTGCATTTCTCCTGTCCTCTTCCACTCAGCACAGTGTTAAAGGGCACTAAAGACAGATACCAGAGTTTCTGTGAGTGTATAAAAGCAGAAAGGTGAAGGTCATGCAGCCAACTGACAGCAGATAAGAACAAACCCCACAAAACTGCTTTAACCTTTGGAAAAACCTGCATTTTAGCATATACAGAACCAGCACTGTATCAACCAGGGACAGAAACATTTTAAGAGAAGGCACCAGGCATCTAAAGCCCCAAGACCATGGCTTTGCTTTTGTCTTAGCCTTGAAACAGACGCAGATGTGTTTCAGTGAACAAACAGAAGCACAGATCACACTTACATGCAAAGGATGAAACTGTCCAGCTCCAATCTGGCACAGAGAAAAGGAAAAAAAGAATGAAGAAGACAAGAGCTTAGAGTCCTTTCTCTGGCTAGGTCACCTGGACAGGAGAGAACCAAGGAAAGGAAAAAGATGTAGACCTCAGGATACAGAAACAGCTGTACAGAAAATAAGACATTTGCAGTAGCAGCTGTGGGGAACAGATGAAAAGATCATGTGCACACTCTGAAACATGCCTTCCCCTGACAACCACTGCCACAGACAACTAGGATACAAATATGTTTCAGGGTTACATTCCATGTGCAGGGGCAGCTAAGAAGTCAAACACAAAATAAAGTAGAAAGAAATGAAAGAAACTCAGATCAGAATACCATATATCTGATTGAAAAAATAAATAAATAAAGCACTTGTGCTATGAAATCAGAAAGGAAAGCATCCCTGCCTTTGTATACACCTGGCAATTCAAGTCTGCAGAGCAACTGAAGTAAAAACTTACCATTCTACAAAGCACTCCTGATGGAAATCCCTCGAGAACCAGTACCAACCCTCACTGAAGGGCCCAGTTTCTCATGATTACTTAGTAGGGCTGATAGGAAAGAAGACCCAAACCAGAGACCAGCAATCTTACCTTTCCCCGCACGAGGGCCTTGTAAGCAGTGCGAATGATGAGGTAAGACCAGATGATATGCAAGATCTGCAGGGTTACCAAAAGCCCGTTGAATAGCCACCATGAAGGATAAGGACCAATCAACTCCCAGCTCTCAAATAGGGTTGTATTCAAAATCCTAAAAGAAATCCAGAAACACATTACAGATCGGCTGTGCTGGTAACGTGGCTTCCAGCTCTAAATTAAGATGACTGGCCAGATGCATAACAGTTTGTATCTCCATTTAAGCATCTGTTGCTTTGGTTCTGTCAGAGCAGCAATGCAGCTAGTCTCTTGCCAGAGTCAGGAGACAGACTAAAGCTAATGAGAAACATTTGAACTGAGCAACAAACAGGAGAAGATGTGAATGTTCTGTAATTTGGTTACACATACAGATCTGCTGCCAATTTCCTTCTCAAAAGTAGGAGCATTTATAATAACTTTACAGGAAGTGATGTCAAGCTGCACACTGGTCATCAAAACAACTGTGAACACATTCATACTTGGGCAGTCTTCAGCCATATTTAAAGATCAGGAAGGAATTTTGTTCCCAGTAGGCCTCCCTCCCTGTGTGCTATTCTCTTCCCTCAGATTTTTATAGATTCCTCCTGCCAAGCTGGAAGGACTAGAAACTGCTTTATGGACAAAGCTTTGTTGCTTTCTTTCATTACTGTTTTGCTGTTCTTGTCGCTGGGAGTTATTGCCAGTACTTAAGTAATTTAATAAACACTTTAGATTTTAAGAAGTAGAGAAGTATGGAGAGACCTTTAAAGACGTCATTCATTTCACAGAGCTTTTAACATCGCACAAGAAAAAACAAACCTTTCAAAGAAGAACCCAAGTCCCCCAAAATGCAGCTAGAGAAACACTGAACTTGTAGCCAGTTTATGGATTAATTAAATGCAATTCCAGAGATCTGTTGATGTTTTGTACTAATTAGGGAAGGGAATATACAGAGGGTCTGCAATACTGCTGCAAGCTTGCCAGATTTCTCTGCAGAGTTGAGGAATTACATTACAGCCAGTGGAAAATACATTAAAGATTTACAGGAGTGCTGAGCAATAGCATGATGCAAGAGCATCACCTCATGACAGACAACGGCAATAAAAACAATGACAACTATCTCATCTGTCACTGGAAGGAGCCTCTACAGATGTAAAAATTAAAGCTCTTCCTTATCCAGACTACTTTGATGCTTTTACTGGAAAACAAGCAAGAGCTTTAATTGCAAGCCTGATACCAAAGTGTAAGTATTGTTTCTGCCTACAGTCAAGGCACCCAACAAGAATAGGAATGTAAGCTGTCCATTGCCTAGGGAATAAATACATGCAGTAAAACTAAAATAAACTGAGTAATAATCAGATGTAACCAAATTTTCACCATATTCTTTCAACAGAAACACAAAGTGGATAACAGCTTATCAACAGAAGAACCTCACCAAGCCTAAACCTATTGAGGTGAGGGGGAATCTCATTACAGGATGATTAGCTCTAAGCCACTTAGCAGGGTTTTACCTCCCAAGAAACCTAAGACCTATTTCAGGCTCTGAACAGTCACGACACAAGGATAGGACACAAGTGTCATAAGAATCAGAAACTGCAGCGATGACTAAGCCAGACACTCCAAAAATCAAATTTACCTCAAGAGACCATGCCTCAGCTGTAAAGATTTCCAAAACTTGTTAAAAGAAGCAAACAAACCCTTCAAGTCTTTCAGAGTAGATACCAGCTGACTTGGCTCCAGCTAATAAGCACTGTCATCACTTTGCAGAAGAGGAGGAGAGGGGCCAGCTGTGCATTAGGATTCTAGTCACTTTTCACACTCCCTCAGCTGACTGTTGAGAGGTTTCTTCCTATGCCTAGTTGAACATACTGCTCCAAACAGTACCTGGGTTGTCTGCAACTTCAGGCTGCCTTGATGGACAGGCTGGAATGCTCACAAGAAGTCTAAATACAAAGGTTTTGCTTAAAGGATTGGAAGAACAAACGAGACCTTACAGATCAAGGTACTTACCAGAAAGGATAAATGCCCAACCGTGTAACAATGAATACGACACCAAAGAGCATGAAGAAAGCATCACATAGACGTTGGTACTTGGCATAATTGGCTAGCTTTGCAGCCTAAAAGAGACAAGAAACATGAGAATATTATTCCCTTTGTGCACTCATGTAATTACCAGACTGTAGAGCTTCAAAAACCCCTTAAGCCATCACATTTGTAAGGAGTTTGGAACATTTAGGGATTATTCTCAGCACTAAAGCAGTTATGAGGAAAAGCTGACAAGGCAGGATCAGCAGCACAAGTTTTACAGCATATTTAATGCAGTTTATAAAAAATGGGAAAGTCAGCTCACTCCCCTGAGATCACACTAGCATTAGGTAGGCAAAGATCTGAAAAAAAAAAAAAACAACCCAACACCTCACCTCCAAAAGGAAATCTGATGCATCATGGAGGCACAGCACCAGAGTTCCAACCCGCACCATGTTATTCATATAAGAGAATGTAATGAGTCCAATTGTAGCCAAATGATGGACGAACATGATCAGGAAGTCCTGGAAACAGGAAAAAAAACAAATGAAGACTCTTTGGTTGTCAAACAAATACAAAGGTTTGGAACAGAGCCACAAAACTGACTAACTGGGGTCATAGGATTACTTCAGTTCAGACTCTGACTCCACTTCACATAAAACACAGCTCATCACACAACATCAACCATCATCACTAAGGGTCAACCATCATCAGAAAGGTCTCTCCCAGCATTTGTGCCCCCGTGAAGTCAGAACTCTGCATACACAGACACAGCACAGTCTCTTTGGCACACACATGCAAGGTAAGATAAGGATGCCTGCAGACCCCACTGAAAAGACTGACAGGACAACGTATGGCCTTTATTTTTGGCTCCTTTTGCTTTTACAGTCCTAGTCCTTTCAGCTCTTGGCACAGATTTTCATTATGCTGTTGTTACTGTTGTTGGTGTGCAAAAGCCTGCCAGAGCACAGGCACAGAAACACAACAGCAAGAACTGGCCACTTCATCTAAAAAATGTTCCCAATGCACATACATTCAGGGCTGGTTTTGAGTTTAGACCCCTCAGTACAACACTTCCATGTCACTGTACCTTCCCATGCTGGCAGTGGGGAATGTAATCCACTTTGTTAAAGTCAGAGCGCAAAATTAAACATTCTAAACAGTATCACAGATGCTGTTTAATCACTCCCTGTCTGCAGCTCCAAGATATTCTGTATTGCCTCACCTGCTAACATTTCAGTCCAAAAAAAAAAACTCCCAGGCAAAGTTTTCTTTTTGAACAGTTAATGCCAGATTGGGATAATTTGCTACTTTGCAGTTTGTGTAACAGAAGCAATAAACCATGATTTACTATGAACTGTTTTCCAACAGCAGCAATAAGCCAAATCCTACAACGCAGCGCAATGGAATTAGACTCCAGCAATTGCAACCAGTCATCATTCTGCTGCACACACAGATGAAAAATGACTTTCAAAAAAACTATGTATTATTGCTTTAGCATTTGCCATTTTCTCACCCAGCTCAGCAAGGTAATGCTTTGAGCATCTCATTTGAATGTTTTCTTGCAAGCCTTCTAATTAAATCTATTTTTATGCAATGATTTGATAGCTTTTTATGGGGAGGTGCTGAGTGATTCTGTTCTTTCCCCTGGAAGGTGAAAGGGACTCTCAAGGTTGAGTACCAGGCTTGCTCCTCCCTTTTCCCCAGGACTGGGTAGTGATTACAGAAGGAGGTAGGCTACACAAAGATGTGAATGAGGAAGAAAATACAGTTATTACTATGTTTTAGCTTTACTGGCCAGGCACACTCACATTTTTTGTTAGTCCTATCTATTTAGCAAAGTGGTTAGTGCAATTCTGGTTAATCTCACCTTCCGTTTAATGTCTGTAAACTGAGAAAACATGAGAGACCAATAGAAGGCCAGCTCCAAGATATAGTAATAATAAAGCCTGGATGTTAGAGGCTGGAAAACAAACAAAGATAGCACAGTTAGAAGACAAAGTACTTTAAAATTCACATTAAAATTGACTTTTCCCTTCCTTCCCATCCCACTCTGTTCCTCCAGAATGCTGAGGCGTTAAGTTAAAAGATCCAGAATTATGGTTTAGTAAAAACAAGCTTAAGCAACAGACATCTTACTCTAGGGCTTAGTCACACAAACATACTTGTGTGTTTGAGCTTTAGTCAAAATGAGTAAGATTCCCTTGTCAGTATTTGCAACTCAAACTGCAGCCTCTTGGATTAGGAAAACCAGGCAGTGAAACAGACTGTCTGGCCTTTATACAATCACACCTGCTGCATAATGAAAACAAGACTGTAAATAAATTACCAGTATAATTTTATGCATTTTTTTTTTTCACTCTTAATAATCTCAGCAGCAAGTAAAGATAAAATTAATAGGAACTGAGTCACTTCTATCTGAGGAAGCACTGCTGTTGACAAACCTAACCAGGATCTGAAGATACAAAGAGTAAATGCCATCTTCGTGCCTTCCAAAAGGGATGGCCATTCACTCACTAGAAAGCTCACCACGTTGCAGCCTCTGCAGCATCCATCCCGCAGAATAATGAGAAGCACTCAAAAGAGTTTCAATCTGCTATCATTAACAAAAAATAAAAACTGAAATTGTGTAAAAAGTTGGAATCTAGAAAGTGTTTATCTCTTACCTGAAAAGGGTAGTTGTACCAGCACTGTCGTGTGTCCCAAAACCAGGGTGCCTAAAGGTAAAAAGATAAGTTACTATTCTACTGGTTTTTTTTTCTTCTGTATATTCTAAGGCAGTTGACCACTACAGTACTGTTTCACTGAAATTTTATCTTGATTCTACTATTCAAATTAAATTTATTGTAAAATCTCCTAGTGATTTAAAATCAATCTTTCTGCAGTCAAAGGGAAATTATACTGCAATTGAAATTCAAAGAATAATCATACAGCTCTAATAATAATAAAGACCCAAAGAGATGAATCTGTATCCCTTCAAGAAGGAGATGAGAAAAAAAAAAATAAGCAACTCTCCATAGCAAAAAGAAAACCCCAATTCCATCCCGTTCCATGGTTACAGGACAACTAAGTTTCTAGTATTTCCATCAGGACAGATCTGTGTAGAAGCTTTCCTCTAGTGTAAAGAAGGTCCTTAAACAGACATCCCAGGATCTCAAATATTAAGGAACATAAAGATGACAATCACCACTAAATCCATCTTGTTTTAAGCACTGAAGAA